CTGTGTGTCAAAATATGTATAGTTTTATGTCAATAAAAAAAACGTACAATAACCTTATTCCTCTGACACTGAGTTTCTGCTGTGACGAACTTTTTAATAAAAGATGGAAAGACTCTACGATATGCAGGTATCTGTATTCAATTTGATCACACACCAATAGAATAAAATCAAACTCTCTCATAGAGATGCACTGTAGAGATATTAGTCTTGCAGTAGGGGTTTACATACAGGTTATTGTATTTTAGGTAACCATGCTAGGAGACTAAATCTCTCTTTCAACCATATATTCTACAGTTGTGATGAGACCGATGAAAGTCCCTCCTACCTGTTTTGCTTCTGTCCACCTTAACATTTTAGGGGCTTTCTTTTTTGAGGATCTTGATCTTAATAATACGGTAGCACAATGGGCCTATAGGACTAAGTGGATCCCCTTTGGATCGCCGGTATAACCTAACCAAACCTTATTCCTCAAAGTCGAAATTTTGCAGGATTTAATGAAAATAAACGTTTTAATATACATATTGCTACAAAAACATAGTGAGTTTGATCTGCATTTTATTTGATTTATAGTAGTGTGTTTGATATATATCACATCACTATATATAAGTCTCTTGTCTGATATATATGTTTATGACAATATACTGTTAATAAGCCTATATGATTTGCAGAGTGTAAGAATTCTACAAATGATATATGTCACAATCAAATGCCATTCTGAGAATTACTTGACAGCTAGCAGTGATTGTGGGTAACACGGTTTTATAATTTTTATAATTAATGGAAAACAATAATTCGCTGATTTAACTTTGGTTTTTGATGTGGGAAAAGGGTGTAGTTGAACAGTGGTTTAATAAGTGTTTTGGAGATTCTGCATTAAAAAATCAGCCATTATTGACTGGCATGCTGAATTTATACAGTCTTACAAGTAGCAATGATGGTGAACGTTCGATTTGCCCGAAATCCATAATTGTTTCGGAAAGTATCAAAACGTCCACAGGGTGTCAAGTATCTGATATTAACTAAATCAGAAAGCAGTTTTGCAATTCTACACGAAAAATTGAGTATACGTGAATTGCTTGCGAACTAGGTAACGTGTTTGCTCCCAACGGGCCAAAAACAACAAGTCACAATCCTATTCTATAAACAGGGTACCGGCAAACACTGCGACCATAGTTGTTTTTTTGTGCTGCAAGACAATAGTTAAAATAATCAAATTACCCTCTTAATTGCTTTCCTAACCATTGTACTTTCCACATCTGGTCCCCGGAGGCCATTTGTTTTATTTGCAGATATTTAAAAGTTGCTCCAGAGAATGAAATTTGACTTACACGAAGAAGTTATTGTTAGCACTATCTTTTAAAAACTACGAGAAATCATTTTACAAAAAAAACTTCAAGAAGTTAGAGGATTCGAGGGGCTTTGAGCTGAATGTATTATGCCTAAAGCACTGTATGTCGATGAATTAATTAAAATATCTAAATCAAATTATTTTTCATAGCTAGACCGGAAATGCATTATAGAGGAGAGACAAGTTTTTGAATCCATATTTTAATTTTATGTTTTTGCCATTTTTCGAAATACAACTATATAAGTAAATAGAATTGACATTGAATTAAAATTTTATATACATACATATATGTATATTAATAAATTTCGTTTTTCAGCTTGCAAATAAATTTCTTCACGTATAATAAATTGAGTTATTTTTATTATAGAAAAACATGCAAATTTTATAAATTTTTAAAATTTCCCTCTTCAAGCAAAACCCTTTTCCGGTGAAATGAATTCAACGGAATTGTCTGGGAGAATGCCTAAACAAATCGAACCCATTAAAAGCATCAATTTTGACATATTGTGCACAAATGGGCATGAGACCGTGAATTTTATTTAATCTTTTTTTTTTTCATTGATATTGTCGTGTCAGATATTTTTATTTTTAAATACATAAATAAATAAAAAATTATTAAAAATCGAATAAAACGAATTGTTGATTGCTTCTATTGTTGTGGATAAATTTAACAAATACTGTAATAACTAAATACAATACTATACATTCATATAATGTATATTAGACAAAATAGAACAACAAAATGTTATATTTTTTTATTGGGAAAATTACGTTTAACTTTTTATTTGATGCTTGAATGCATTTTGTGAAAGTTAGAGTTAGTCACCAAAATAATAAATACGGGTACAATAATACATTTTAAAAAAGTAAAAGTAAACAAATATTTATTTTATATTTAAATTTCTTTTTAATCTATATATATAGTATAATATAATATAGTACTGAGTACACAAAGAAAAAGGAAGACGACCAAGGTTAAAATTATTAACAGCAATCTCTTTGACATCACTTTTGTTGTTAAAATATTAAATTTTGTAAGGCAATTATTAAAATTATTAGATATAAAGGCTTGTCTTATAGAAAGCCATATTGATTACAGGCTTCTCGAGGAGGTATGCAGATCTGATGTCAATTGTTGCTTAGTCTGATGAAGTGATATACAATAATCTAGTCAACGCGCAAAGAGAGGTTTTGAAGAAATTTCGCAGGAGTAAAAGTGCTTATGTGCACTGACTCAACTAGCCTCAACATAATAATTGGACTCTTTATTTTTTATTTTTTTTTTTTAAGCATCCTTTACTGGATATTGCTGATTGTATTTCATAGATATTAAGTAATACATGTGCAGGTTTACTGTACCCATGTACAGCTCCCATAATATTGAACTCTTGATTGATCCATTATATTGAGAAAAAAATTTTTATTTATTGCCCATTTTTTTAATCACCTTTTGCCATTTTTCAACTATTTTTCCTTTATTTATGCATTTTATCGTTAAAATAATGAATATAGAAATATGTTATAGAAATTTTTATCACTAAAACAAAGGCTTAATATATTGCTTGTTGCCTCGTTATACATGATAATGTTAATTGTGACTTGTGAATAATTATAGATATGATAATGCCAATATATATATTACTTTGTATATAATAATGCCAATAATATGAGGTGACATGCATACAAATTTGACATACTTATATATTCAGTATGTGTGATTTTATAATTTGTATTAAAAACAGACAGTCATATGAGGAATGGTCATAACAATTTTACACTTTTTTAGTCATGACAAAAACGCCTGTTATATAGAAAGTTATATGACAATGATCAATTTCGTACTTTTATTACTATTTTAATACTGTTTCGTTGTATTAAAATTTAAAGGTTATATATGTGTAAGCATTTCCACACTAAAATACATATTTTTGCCTATTTAAGCTTAAAGTTCTGACATTTATTACTGAACAATAATTTGGCACAGAAAACGTCGTTTTATTACCAAATTTTAATAAAAATTTCTTTAATTCTCCATTTATTAATTTACTTATAAACATCAACAATTTTACATTTGACTTAATCATGACGGTCTGTATATGTAGCTAATCTTAGAAATATCTTAAATCAAATAGTAGTCATAATAACATTACCAGTAATTAAAGAGATGTGATCGTGAAAACGTAAATTATGCTTACAAATTTAGTACTGTAAGCAAAAACCTATAATAGCTATACTATAACTAATACAATATTTATAGTTCAGATTAATAGGTTTGATTGTATTTTTGTTGTTTATTATTACATCACCGTTCATCAATTCAATGACAAATATAAAATCTTTTACTGCAGAGCATCACTTAATTTGAAAGTATATAATTCACAACTAATAATATATTTTTAAAGAACTGAAAGAATATTTTGCGTTTGAACATGCAGACACAGAGCTTGGAATCTCTTCAAGTTTATTAGTAATATATGTACGTATCACCTCATTGTTTCACCGTCTTCTTCTCTACCTCTATGCGTTAGAAATATAACTTTTTATATTGTTGTTGTTGTGGTTTCTTGAGTTAGTGCTATTTACTCTTACGCACTTTTACTCTTTTGTGGCTGGGGGGCTTATCCCTACCCCACACTAGGCTTTAACTATGCTGGATTTCATATCGTTTATCTTTTAATTGATGACGGATCGTAGCATATCTTCCTGTGGGTCCTGAGGTCTTACCCAGAGTTAGGGCTCTGTCCTTGATATATTTTTTCACTGAGTCGATCCTTAGATCTCTGTGTATGTGTGTTGTTCTAATATACCATGGAATTTTAAATAGTCTTCCTATAACCAGGTTTTGTGCCCTCTATAATTGCTTTATGGCAGTATTTGTGGCTTTGCTGTATGTAACACATCGGTACAGTAGTGCTGGTCTACTTATTTGAGTATATGGTAACTTTCTATTTTTGGTGTTAAAGTGTATATTTCCTCGTTACATATATTCAGCAGAATATTATTTTATAAAAATATTGTATACATCTTTAAATATTATTATAATTTTTATAAAAGTATTATAAAAATAAAAGTTTAATTTTTTTTTAAACATAAATTTTTTAACTGTTTATACTTTGCTCCCATTTATTTTTATTAAATTTTGAATGTAAAATTTATTATCATTTCTACTTGAAATTTAAGTATTCTGCCAAAATTGGCTCCAGTTGTTGTGTACACATGTGTAAGCAATTTCCTTTCCAAATATCTTTGCATTTCTTGACTTACGTAGTCACTAACTGGGTGCAGCATAACTGCATGTCGTGTTTTCCAGAGCGTATAAACAATGAAAGAGTTTTTCCTATTCATATTTTACAAAAAATTGTTTTGTATGCTTTTTTATATTTTCAAAACAAATAGCAGACCACGAAACAAAAAATTCACTCAAAATGATATTGATGAGTCTACATGCTATTAAAAAAAAGTATCTGAGTAAACAAAGTATTGCAAAATCGTAGATTTAACTAACAGTTTTGCAGAAATGTTTAAGCAAGCGGGCATGCGCTGAAACTGTTTGTTTGTTCACGCTTCTGTCTTTTTATTTAAACATGTTTATATTAGTTAATAAATAGTTAATATTATTGTTTTTTATATGCATATGTATTTGAAGAGTCTATTTGTTCTTTAAAAAAAAATTAAATAAAAATTAAGAATTAATTATGTAGTGTTTTGTTAAACAGTATGACATCCATTACTTGAGCTGCGAAATCGGACAGATTAAACATTAATCTGCGTTAGATGGATCGTGTTTGCCCTTAGTTTCTTTGATTTTATCTAAATTGTAATGAGTATCACCTGCATTAGCACCAGCTCTATCGTGGTGACTGTCAACTTTATCCAATCCACCTCTATCGAGATCATCAGTATTGGGAAGAATTTCATTAAAACTATCTCCAAGGCAATCAACAATGAAATCACCTCCATCCATACCATCTTTATTGAGACTACCTTCATCCACAGTACCTTCATTGACAGTATTTTTATCGTCAGTACTTCCATTGACACAATTTCCATCGTAACAGTCTTTACTCGAGGTATTTCTATCAAAACGAATTGTTTTGGTTCCACTTTTATAGATATTGCCCTCAGTAGTACTATATCCATCAAAACTACGCCCTTCGAAACTACCACCATAGAAACTACACCCTTGAAGACTACATCTATCGAAACTTCCTTCATCATTATCATCTCTATTAAGACAATTCCCATCGGTATCATCTTCATCGAGACTAGCTGTGTATGGATTATCTCTCACACTTGCCTTAGTATCACTTGCATTAATATCTCTACCTGTAAATGCATAGTCAAGATCATTTTCTGTACTACGATTTATAACGTGCTCTTTAATTCCATTGTCATCTTCTTTTTTAAACTTGCTTATATCGAAATTCTTTATTTTATCTTCGTCTTTTCCACGCACATATCCATAACCACAGAAATTTTCTAAATTATTGTTGGTAACAAGCTCGTTAGCTTCATCTTTACCAGTGATTTCATCAAACGACCCTTTAAGTTTATTGTTTGTCTTGCAAAAACCATTGCTACGTTGGGTTATTTGATTTCCTTGCCTATTCGCAAACTATAATAAATATAATATTTTTTTTAATTTTTTATATATTTATAATTCCTGTCTTTATTTACCTGCTTAATTTCATGAATTAAATCAGTACTTTTATTTTCTACTAATAAATTCTTCTTCAGAAGTTGACTCGATAAGTCAGATTTTATTTTTTCCTTAATCTTCCATTGCCCATTCTTTTTTGTTAGTCTGTGCTGAAGCAATAGATACTGTATCGAAGGATCCTTATCATCGCCCATTTTCTCTATACAATTTCTTGTTTTTAAGATTTGTTTTTCAGACAATTAATTTACGGAATTTGAAATAGGTTTTTCAGAAAAAAGTCTATATTTTGTAGATTAGATTGACAGGTATAAGTTTTAAATGACAGGTCATTTTTCATAAAGCATTTAAAAATATTTGAAATTTGACAGTAGTAATTTTTTAATGTTGCAATGTTATTTTGCAGTTTTAAAAAAAAAAAAACATGAAACTATAATTATTCATATAAAACTTGCGATGTGCACGCAATGTATATAACTAGTCCAACTTGCTATATACAGACTTACAATCAACCAATTATCCGATTTCGTGGTAAGTTTTTAATACCATCTTAAATGTTTATATTAACAAAACTCGATGTTGTGAAGTTTTTAATAAAAGACCATAGCTTGATATGCTCACAACAATCTTATTGTCTATATAAACGAAGTCCAAGTCACACAATAGATTTTTTTTTAAACAGTTTTTATGATCATATCTTTAGACATACTATTTCATCAGTATGACACAAGTTGTCTTACTAGAATGCGATAAATTTTTATACTAAGTGTTGTATTTATTATTTAATAATATCTAAAACTATAATTTATCTTGTCTTTACTTTGATCTCTAACCACAATAAATTTCCGAATTCTCTAGAACACCCAAACAATTTTATGAGTAATTTAAACTCAAAGTATGATTTATAAAGTTCATTTAGAGGGCTTGAATAATTTATTGCAATTATTAAGAATTATTAAGAAATAATTGCAATTAATTTGTTGTTGTATAACTTTTAGTTTCAGGCACTGGTTTCTCATTATACCCTCTATACTATTGTGAATAAAGGGTATATTAAGTTTGTTAAAATGTTTATAAAGCACAGTAAAATATGTATCATTTGCAAAGTAAAGTCTTTACAGGTATATCAAGCTAGAACGTTTGTAAAGAGATGAAGATGGTCGGATACCATATAAATGATATTTGTTATATATATTTTTCATTGGTACGACAAAACAGGAGTCTTTTTGTCTGTCGTATGGCTCTGTAAATCTGTGTAGATTATGTTGACTAATAAAAAAAAAATTATTTGACTTATAATGTGTTAGATGATACAATATCTATGCGTAAAAAAAGGTAAATATCTAATATAACTATTTGTGTGAAGAATATTGTATCAACGTCGAAGTCATTCCGTTTTTTTTTTTTAATAATATTTTTCAGTTAATATGCCAAATAATTACAATTAATTTGAACAACAACAATATGCATTGGCGTTGTGGCTTTTTATTGATATTGCTGCTCTGCTGCTGTTATTTAGAAAATTGCAACTAATATATTTAATGAGTTAACAATTTTTTTTTAAATTTTTATACAGAATACAGAATAAAAAAAAATTAAAACAAAAAATATCACAGAAACAACTTGAAACATTCTAAAGTGAACATTATTCTAAAAAAAAAGAATGAAAAATACTTTGAAAAACAATCTATTGTTGAGAGAAAAAAAGATTATATATTTATGTTGTTGTTGTGTTAATTTTAAGAACACGAAAGATACAATCACAATCATAGATTCATGCTCATGCTACAAGCATTGCCGGTCAGGTTTGACGATTTGCTGCAATGTTGATGTATATTGAATAGTAGTTCTCTTGCTGGTGGGAGGTTAAATAATGTTGCTTGAATGCATGCAATTGTTGGCAAATGTAAAATTGTGTCACAAATTTACACACGACCAAGTTTCTTTAACATTCTCAACAATTTTAGAATCTTTTTTTTTTTTTACTAATTTTAGTTTTATAATATTTTTCTTTTGTCTTACGTAATTTGACTTGAAGCAAAATTCATTTTCGTTCGCTTTGTTAGTGATTTATTATTCACTAGTGTCAAATTAAAAATTTTTATAAAAAAAATTGAAGTTTCTAAATATGAAGTCATTAATTATTTAAAATCCAAGTTTATTTAAATGATTTCTTCAATTTTTGCATTAGATAAATTTGAACCACAGAACTCTATTATAAAACTTCATTTTAAACACTTGATTACGTTAATAACTGCTTTTAAAGGTTATATATATAATTAGTTATACATGGTGTTTTCTAACTAAATGATATATATACAGAACGTTAACTTGATCAGAGCCTCTTCATGAATTGAAGAGAATTCAGACTATAATTGAAGTTGAACAACCCTATACAGCTAGAATGGAACCCATAAGATAGACGATACTGTGAGTAAACCAAAACGATGTAAGAATAAAAATAGATAATTTGGAAGATAACAATAGAAAAAAATAGCAACACAGTAACTTTTTGTTTTGTTAATAATATAATTAATCAAAATAGTACAAACGTACTAAGTTGAAATCGTATTTTTCAATCTTTGTTTTTTAATTCTTTGACGCAAATGCAATAAGTTGTTTCCTCATCAAAGTATAACTATAAAAGACATATTAATTTATATCTTACTTAAAAATTTAAATAATTTTATAAACACTAGACTTCCTGAACCTGTTTTATAGTTAGGGAACATACTTTTGTTAGCGGTAAAGGAGGTATAGTTTTGTTTTTCGTTGAATATAGAATAATTCTATATAAATAGTTATCTTAAAAAAAAGAGACAAACCATAACAGTGTAAAGCTGTGTAACAGTTCCAGATCGACTATATAGTGTAGAAAGGACTATATGTTGCCAAAGTGGACAGTTTGTTTTTTTAGAACTATTTAACATTTCATCTACAACTGCAACAATAAAATTAGTCAGATATTCTGTGATATCCATACTATTCAAACTTAACTTCATGTGATTTAAGAAAATTGTTTTGAAACTAAAGAATCAACGTTTTCATCGTTCTTTTCAAACTTTTTATCAAAAGAACGCTTTGACGATATGAGTAAAAATAAACTATTTGCACTAGAAGAGATAATAAATATTATCTACTATTTTGTATGGTTATTTATCTCACATTCATAGATTGGCTTCTTAGTGAGATATGCTATATTAAATATATACTATTTAGACTCTCAAACAACTCTTCTATATATAATTTAATAAATTTTAGTAAATAAAAATAGTAACATAAGAAAATATATTATAAAATTTGTTTCGGCTACTTTTAAGTGCATAATTTTTTATTTTATAGTGGTCTTACTTAATGAAATGAACTATTATTACATTTGTAATTGGTCTGTAGTAATTTATTTCAATATTCAAGTTTAGACCTTGTGTTTTTTTTTTTGTATTGCAAGTATTTTATTTAAATAAACTTGAATGAGTTTATTTCTTTATTCTATAGTATATGAAATTTAACATATATTTTCAATTATACTTTATGATTAATTATCCACAACTTTTTAAATTAAAATTTCAATTTTGACCTAATTACTTTCAAAGAATATGAATTACATTAGCGGTTAAGCAGTTTATGTTATAGTAAAAAAATTCATAAATAAATGGGATTATTATAAAATATACACATACAAAATACATATGTTGTCATCACCATCAATGCCACAAAAGTATTTTCTCGTTTTATTTTATTGTGTTGAAAATCATCTTCAATTACAGCATAGACCATAGCAAAAATAGGTTATCGGATATATTGATGTAGAAGAATTTATTATAAGCAAAATGTGTGAATCAAAAAGAGAGGACTTGAATTGATGCAATTTGAACAATAAATTAAAGTAGTAAATTTATTTATATTATGTATATTATATATATATGAATTATTATATTATATATGTTATTACATTTATATTAATTAAACTGTTCAAAAATATAAACTATTTAAATTTCTTTTTATTATTATTATTATTATTGGGTCAATATTTAATTATTGGTTTTATAACATTAAATTTAACATTTTTCACAATATTTTTTTGTTAATATATATCATATTTAAATATATTTATATTTACATATATATTTTATTTATACATATGTTATATATATGCATTTACTTTATTTATATATTTTTATTTTATTTATATATAGGTTATATATAAGTTTTCAAACTTATCTATCGTCTACTTTGAGAAACAATTATTTTTTAGCACCCCATCTATATAATACATATAATACATCTATATACATATGTATTATACATATAATACATAGGATCGCATAAATCGCACCTTTATAATAATCACTACAATCTTTTATTCAAATTAAAACAAAAATTAAAGTTTAAATTTAAAATATTTAAAGAAAATTATAAATAGACTTATTCAACACCAGCTTTATCGGCTCCCTTTATGCCCATAAGTGAGCGTTATTGCCCACTCGAAAAGCTATGTGTTAGACCGATGTTTAATCTTGATTTTCCAATAGTGCTATATTTTAAATATTATATAAATAGTATTATATAAATAAATATAAATATTATATAAATATATATTTTTTTAAATATAGCACTATTGCTTTTAAACTCAATTTTAAAGTTTTTGGAAAAAAAAATAGATCCAACCCTTTTGAGCAATAACATTAGTTATTATTAGATGAAATATATCGGCCTTATTTCTCATTAGATCCAAAGATATAACAGTTCGCAATTGATTGCAGCTCAATTGAGCCTCCCTATATAACATAATATTTTTACACATTTTATTATATATCGACAGAGATTAAATTCTTTTTAAAAGTATAGTACTAGGTAAGATTTTATTTTGCATTTACTAAGTATAATAAATTTTGTTCAAATTTAAATTGATAAGTAAATTATTTATAATCATTTATAATTATAAGTGTAACAAATATTAAGAGTTTCAGCGAAATTAGAGTTTTTTTTTAGTTTTTATTTATATCGTGAAGATTTATATAAAGCTAAAGTAAAACTTTAGTATGTCTTAATTTTATACCAATTTTAATTAAGTTTATAGACTTCTCAGTTTGGTTTAGTTTCACTTGAATAGTGGAGTCATGTCTTATACATTGTTTGTATGCTGACCACTGCGGTCTTTTCGGGAATCCTTTTGGTCTGCGTATATATAACGCAAATTCGTGGTATCACAATGTACTATTATTTCAGTTTAAATCGGCATTAGGTATCAATCCTCTATTCCAACCTAATCTAACCGAAACCTACCAGTTCTAAATAATATAAAGTAAAACTTTAGTAT